ATGAAATCCTCCGGTTTGGCCAGTCCATTATAGAAAATACCATCGAGAATCACTGGATGTGTTGCGTCTCTTGTTTCGACAATGTAGAAGTCGACAGGCACAATGCAATCTCCTATTCTCAAAGGAATGTCATGAGCTATTTCTTGAGGTGTTGCATTGGAATCATCAGCTAGACGAATCCTTGCTCTAGTCCTGCGCAGGTGCTTAATACTAAGTCTCAAAGCAATTGCCTTGGACATCATGTTAAGACAAGCTCCAGAATCACAAAGTACATCCTTAAACATTTCACCTCTAATGGAACAAGAGATGAGAAACTGACCTTTAGTCTTGACCTTATGGAGAGTTCGAACTTGTCTTTTCTTTGTGAGTGATGGCTGGTGTTTTAAACGCTGAATAGGACTCACAAAAGAAAGCTGCAGCGTCGTATTCAATGATTGAATCGATGTATGGCATCTCTATCTTGCTGTGTATCGGGTCTTCTTGGATTGAAGAGTCATCTGAATCCTCAACACATTCCATTGCCATCATACAAGGTAATGATTCCTGCCAATCCGTTTCTTCATCAGAAACCTGGTTTCTTTCTCCCTGAGTTGCTTTTTTAGGTGCTGGAGGTTGAAGTTGGGCCAGAAGATGTATTATCTTTCTTTCATATCTCGGAGGCAAATCTGAACGACCAATCCCCGCGGTCAGAGACCTCGCGACCGCGGGAAAAGGAGCCTTGGCCGCTGCAGAGTAGACGGACCCGCGGCTCCGAACGTGATTCGCTCATAGTCCACTTCTTCCTTCTTGTACTTGGTATGAACCTCTTCAGCTTCTTTCTTTGGTAGACTAGCATCATCTGAACTCATACCAGGGTGTTGTTGTGCATCTTCATCAGGATCTTTGGGAGATTTCTTAGAAAATCTCACAATTGGCTCAATGTTGGGCATCTGTTCCATTCTTGCATCAATCTCACGTGCCTTGAGCTCGAGTTTGTTCAGCCTGTGCTCGATCTCCTGCAATTCGTCTGTCTTCTCTCTATACCAGGAGGCGAATTCTCTGACTTCTTTGATCTCCTGCTTCAATTCGACAATATCACTTGAGTTTTGTATGATGTCATACCCTTGTCTTGTCTGCTTTGCTGCGACTTGGTTGATCATCCCAGCTAGTGTTTGTGCGTCCTTGTGGGTTTGTTCTTCCAGAACTCAAACATGATTGGCCAGATCATCGAATTTTCTGTTGAACTCTTCAGAGATTGAATCAATTCTCTTGAGCAAGGTGTTTTTGGTGAGAATCTGCTGATCAAGGAACTGGTTTATCATTCCTTCGAGACATCCCAAACGTTTGCTGATCCTCAAGTTGTCCTCTTGCTGATTCGGGTTCTACGGTGGAGGATGATAGGCGTGTGGCTCGAAATAGGTCGGAGGAGGACCATAAGGATCTTCCCGGTGTCGAGCAGGCTCCCTGCACCGGTAGTATGGATGATTCGGCTGGCTGTATCGATCCATGTAGCTAAAATCTCAGGCTTGATATTCTTCTCTGCGTCTAGTGGCTTGAGGAGTGTTTGTAAAAACCTCCCTCATAGTAGGGATTTCAATTTATAGGATCCATCGCTTTGGGAATGGAAACAAAAGAACCGAAAAATGGAAATATGCAGAAAAAGGGTTCTAGAGTCGATTTACCAACCTTTCTTAGGGTTTTTCGGAAAAGAAAATGCGTGCCTTCTCCGGAAACGGCGCCAAAAACTTGATGTGTCGTCTCGTGAGGGTGTCAAGTTTTACCCTAAATGAAATCAATAGCCGCAAGTGCACAGCTGATCGATTGTAGTACTTAGGGATCAAATCCACAGAGAATGAGGATCTTTCCTGAAATATAAAGTAAGGAAGTTTAGAACCAGGCGATTTTTGTAAGGGTTTTGGTGGTGTCTTTAAAACGTAAAATTTAATCTTTACGAGAATTAAAATGACCTAATAACTAAACTTAATGAAATCGACTCAAAACGAGAAAAACGGCTAAACCTAATAGCTTAAACGAAAATCGATTAAGAGAATAAAAATGATGAACTAAAGCTTGAAATAAAATCGGTGTAAATCTATTGAAAAGAGGCGCTGGGTTTCAGGGAAGTTTTCTTTGGGGTATGAACGATTCAAAACATTGCTAGAGAGTAAATTTGATAAGATCTTAGCTTAAACTTTTCGAACTAGAGTCACAGACGTATGAATACGCCACTGTCGTGATCATAGACAACTATCTCTCTCAATCTTGACCAGTAGGTTTCCACTCTGGCCCTGGAAGAGAAAAGATGCATTATGTTTAAGACTCATCAGCATTCATAATTCGCCCATAGGTAGGTTTCCACTCCTATGTTTGTTTTGCTCTCCCAAACTAGATCTGACACCGGATGAACACTTTCGTGTCACCAAGCATCTGGATCAGATTGTAGTTCATGACGCTACTCTCTTGCAGTAAAAATAAATTCAGAAGAAAAAAGATTCGGCTTCAATAGCTCATGGAATCCTCATCGAACATATGTATCCCCATCGAAAATCCCTTAGACCCAACAATAAAACTACTCAGACATGATGAACGAAATAAAAAACATAGTATTAAAAAGTAAAGCAATAGTCAAAATTGGAAAAGAAAGAACAAGGGTTCAAGAGATAGATCTCTCTCTCCCTAAACCTAAAAACAAAAGCTTAAAGTAAAATTTCTTGTAAAGTATTTCGTCTCTCCTCTTCTTTGTGTAAAAACAACCTAAATGATAAGTATTTATAGTCTCTAATGCTCCATGGTGTCTAGGGTTCCGGAATTGAGGCTGAGAAAATGATTTGGGCTTCAGAAATGGGCCATCGAAATCGGAGTTTCCTGGCCGCGGTTGGGATGTGCGTTACCGCTGGGAATGGATAGTTGGCCGCCGTTTGGGAAGCTTCTGACCATGGTAAAATGGCTGTTGGCCGCGGGTGGAAATTCTTGCTGGCTGGTTTACGAGACATCTTGCTCTTCACGTATCTTTTGATTGATCTGTTGGATTGCCAAGCTGTAAAGTGTGCTGGAAAGCTGATACTTCCATCTTTGAGATCTTCACATTTGAGCTGGATCAGACGGTGAGAAGGTCTTCAAATGGGGGTGAACTTCTGACGGTTTGACTCTGAGCTGAAAATTTTGTCTTCTATCCATTTTGTTAAGCTTTTCCCTAAGTTTTCTGAAAAGAGTCTTAGAACTACAAATACTAGAAAAACATAATAAAAGTACTTGAAAGCAATAAAAAACATAGAAAATGTATTTATAAACGATCCATAAAAGTGGTCAAAATACGGTGTTATCATATCATCTGCATCACTTTGTTTCGCAAAAAAACCGTAGATTATTTTTGGTGATTTTAACGAGATTCTAGAAGGAGAAGAGCACTCAGAATTTCAAAACATACTGAATTTCACGACATGGATAAAAGACTCCCAGGACCTGGCAAGATACTGCTTGTTCTTGGACATGCCTTTTCATGGCCCACTGTATACATGGTGCAATAAGAGGGAAGACGACACAATTTATAAAAATTGGATTGAGTTCTCATTAATGATGTTTGGCTACAATCTTACCCACATATGTACTCTGTTTTTGAGGCGGGGGTTATTTCAGACCATCTCCGATGTAGAATTCAGTTCAGCAAGGAGGCCAAAAAGCCGTGTAAACCCTTCAAGTTTTTCAATGCAGTTACTACTCTAGAGGGATTTAAATCGATGGTGGCAGACTACTGGAATGAAACTGAGTAAATTTTCTAATCCACTTCATCGATCAATCGGTTCTTAAAGAAACTTAAGGGTTTAAAACAGGGTATTCGGACTCTAGCAAAAGAAAAACTGGGGGATCTAGTCAAGAAAGCAAAAGAAGGATATGTTGATTTATGCACAAAGCAGGAGGCGAATTCAGTGAACCCCTTGCTGCAAGCTATGGAGGAGGAGATTGCTGCTTACAAGCGATGGGATATTGTTTCAGGTCTGGAGGAGAGTTTCCTAAAGCAGAGAGCGAAGTTGCATTGGCCCGATATTGGAGATGGAAACAATAAGGTCTTTCACCGAGCAGCAACCATTCGGGCGGCTAGAAACTCGATTCGGAAAATAGCTTGTCCAAATGGGAATGTGGTCACAACAGGGGACAAAATAAAGACGGAGGCAGAAAGTTTCTTTTGGGAATTCCTGCAACATAAGCCGGATGATTATGCTGGTCTCACTATTGTGGAACTTCAGGATCTTTTGCCTTTCTGATGTTCAAAGGAGGATGGAGGATGGTTAACTCGAGATGTTTCAGATGAGGAAATAACCGAGGTTCTTTTTTCAATGCCAAATGGGAAATCCCCTGGACCAGATGGGTATACTTCAGAGTTCTATAAATCGGCCTGGCCTATTATTGGAAACGAGTTCATCACTGTTGTTAAATCTTTCTTCGTGAAGGGAGTCCTGCCTAAGGGTGTGAACACAATGATAATGGCCTTAATTCCAACGATAGGGAGAGAGAGATTTGTCTCTTGAACCCTTGTCCTTCCTTTTTCAATTTCGATTATTGCTCTACTTTTTTATTTCGTTCATCATGTCTGAGTAATTTTATTGTTGGGTCTAAGGGATTTTTGATGGGGATATATATTGGCCTTAATTCCAAAGAAAACAGAGGCAAGGGAGATGAAAAATTACAGGCCTATATCTTGCTGCATCATATACAAAACAATCTCAAAAATCATAGCAAACAGATTGAAAGGGATTTTTCCGCAATTTATTGCTGCGAATCAATCTGCTTTTGTGAAAGACCGGCTCCTCATAGAAAACTTTGCTTGGTACTGAATTAGTTAAAGATTACCACAAGGATTCAGTCTGTGCTTGTTGTGCCATTCAGATTGATATATCAAAGGCTTTTGACTCTGTGCAGTGGTTTTTCATGCTGGAATACTCTATCTGCTTTTAATTTTCCAGGAATATTTATCCATTTGATATCTTTGTGCATCACAACAGCTTCCTACTCAGTTCAAGTAAATGGCGAGCTGGCAGGCTTCTTCAGAAGTGAAAGGGGATTGCGTCAGGGGTGTTCTCTATCGCCATATTTGTTCGTCATTTGCATAGATGTTTTCTCAAAACTTTTGGACAGAGCCGCGACAAGGAGACATGTGGGATACCACCCGAGATGTAAAAACATTGGCCTTACTCATCTGAGTTTTGCAGATAATTTAACGGTGCTTACAGATGGGAAAGTTCGATCAGTGGAAGGGATTGTCAAAGTTTTCGACGACTTCGCCAAATTCTCGGGTTTGAAGATTAGTATGAAAAAATCGACAATGTTCTTAGCTAGTGTTTCGGAAAATACTCGGCAAGCAATAGAGAACCGTTTTCACTTTGCGATGGGACTTCTCCCTGTCAGGTACCTTGGTTTACCGTTAACCACGAAATGCATGACAAGGAATGATTATCAGCCTTTGGTGGAGAAAATCAAAAATCGCATCAGCTCATGGACAGCCCGATCTCTATCTTACGCTGGCCGATTACAACTCATCAGCTATGTCCTTTGGAGTGTTTCAAATTTCTGCCTCTCTGCTTTCAGGTTACCGAGCAAATGTATTCGCAAGATTGAAAGATTATGTTCTGCGTTTCTTTGGTCTGGCCCTGCTCTGAGCTCAACAAAAGCAAAGCTCCCTTGGAGTGAAGTGTGTCGCCCTCGTAGTGAAAGAGGACTGGGCCTTCGTCCTCTAAAGGAAAAATATGACGTACGTTGCTTTAAGGTAATGTTGATTTAGAGCATTACCTCGGGCAGAACCTTTCTGGGTGGAATGGATCAAATCAAACATATTGAAGACTGACTCCTTCTGGTCGATTAATGAAAAACCAAACTCAGGATCTTAGATATGGAGAAAGCTTCTAAAATTTTGGGAAAGGGCAAGGGCGTTACATAGAGTGGACATTCGCAATGGTAGATCAACATCTTTTTTGTTTGATAATTGGTCACAGTTAGGATGGCTGATCGATATAACAGGGAGACGAGGAGTCATTGATATGGGTATCCCTCTCTAAGCCAAGGTTGAAACGGCTTGTCTAAGTCATCGCAGACGTAGACATAGGGTGGAGCATCTCAACGCAATTGAGGATGTGATTGCTGATTGGCGTGCTAAAAGGATCCCAGATGTAGAGGACATAGGCTTATGGAGATGCAAAGGGGATCTTTTAAAACCAGTTTTCAGTTCGAAAAACACATGGCTTCTTATCCGCCAGATACATGCCTTAGTCGATTGGTCCAATGGGATATGGTTTAAGTAAACAATGCCTAAATATGCCTTCTGCGCATGGTTAGCTATGCACAACCGTCTAACAACGGGTGATCATATGATCGTTTGGAATCCAGGAATCAATCCTGCTTACGAATTTTTTCAGAACCAGATGGAGACGAGAGATCACTTGTTCTTCTCATGTCCCTATTCAGCGGAAGTGTGGGCTGGTCTGTCAAGGGGTTTACTCAAAACGCGGTTCACTACAGATTGGCAAAGCATCGTCATCATCATCTCTGACTCAAGGTTCGATCCACTTTCAGGCTTCCTGTCTCGGTATGTTTTTCAGAGTGCGATCCACAGTTTATGGAGGGAAAGGAATTCAAGACGCCATGGAGAAAGACCATGATCTCCAGCTCTTCATATCAAACTCATCGATAAACAAGTGCAAAATCGCCTATCAACAATTAGAGCTTCGGGTGATTAAAAGTTCGAAGGAAGTCTTCGAGCTTGGTTTGCATCTAGGTCGTAGATCCTTTGTAATTTACATCTTTAAACTCTCTTTTTAGCAATTAAAAGAAGGACACACTCTGATGTAAAAAAGTCTTTTTTATTTTGAATAAATTTTACATTCAATTCAAAAAAAAAAAAACAAATTTAGACTCTAATTAATAAACTTAATGAGATTTCTTGCCCATCAAGTAAGAGAAATAAAGATAAAAACTTAAGAGCAAACTAAAGAAGATGTTTTTGAATTTATTTGGGATGCATGTCTTGCAAATGATCAAGACTAATGTGATGATGTTGATGATCAAAACTAATGACCTATTTAGATGATGTATCTTTTGTTCGATCGATTAAATTTATAGTCACTGTTATTACAAAGCATCACCCACTCAAAAACTGGCTAAATACACGATCAGTCACGTTTGGACCTTCTGTTTTTAATTTTTGTTAATCTACAATATCCATCATAACAGAAAAAAAGACGAAGAGAGGAAAGAGACGATGAACATTCTGTTATCCTCATTAATTGTGAAATAATTACAAAGTTTCTTCTATATAGTATGAGATTCTGTTATACCGAACTAAACCAACTCTAATTACAATTGAACCAATCCGGTATATATCATTCCCCCTCAAGATGGCATGTAAAGAGACTGCAAAGCCATCTTGCCAATGAGATTGTTAAACTGTGTAGGGTATACAGGTTTAGTGAACACATCAGCGAGCTGTAATTCAGTCTTGATGTGCATAGTTTTGATCAAACCTTCCACAATTCTGTCCCGAATAGAGTGAAAATCGAGCTCCACATGTTTGGTATGCTCGTGGAAGACTGATAAGTGGCCATTTTAACTCATTATAACCCATGTTTACTGATCTTTTTAGGAATCTTTGGAGTCTTTTTCAGGTTGTTTCAGGTAACTAGGAGGCTTTAGGAGAGGATTGGAGAAACTGGGAGCACTGTAGCAAAAAGGAGCTAAAGCTGAGCAAAAGGAGCCTAATTCATACGCAGATGGAGAAATTTTGGGCACAGCATCTGCTCCCGATTTCACCCTTTCGTGGAGCACCTGCTCCAACCTCCAGAAAAAAATAAGGAAAATGAATTTACCTAGTTCTGGGACGCAGGGAAGACAATAAAAAAGACCAGAGCCACCTCAGAAACAAATCACGTTTTACAGAACTTTTTCTATGCTTTCTTTTATAATTTCTAGACTAGAGAGTTTTTGCTTGTAAGCTTTTGGGAGAGGAATTCCTGCTACACTGTGAGAAGAATTCAAAACCCCCTTATCGTTTCTGAGATTTATTTCATGAATTCCTTTTCATCTGTTTCTGTGTTTCTTTTCTCCATGTCTGAGTAGATCTCTTAGCTAGATTAAGGTTTTCAAAGGATTTCATGAGTTAGAGAATTGGATGCAAATAGGGCTTGATATGGTTTGTCTTCACTACTGTTAAACTTAACGCTTAGGTTGAACTGATCATTCAATTTACGATCTTAGGTTAATCTATTCATCCAAAGTGTAATAGGTTGCTAAAATAAGCTTTGGCGATTTGTCCTTAGCCAACGACAGTTGATATTAAGGCAAATCGTGAACAGATCAAACCTGATTGTTAATGCTTGCCTGCGATTTTCTAGGTTCAAACGACTATTTAGAATTTAGGTTGTTAGACAAAGTTATCGGTGCCATGACAGTGGGTCGATATTCATTTATGTTTGAGTTCGAGACTTGAGTTTAAACTGTGCCCTGAATAGTCATCTGATTCTTACCTCTGAAACTCCTGTGAATTTCCTTAGTCTAGCATTTGTTTTAAATCGAGTTTAAATCGTTGTTTGATATCTTTGTATGTTTCTTTACTTCCAAACAATCATCCTTCGCCTTAGCTTTATTTCAGTCCTCGTAGAGTCATAGTGTAACACTGGTCCTCTGGATTTCAAGTCCTTTATATTACAATCTCAACGTTGTTCTATTGCAGTAGAAACTAGGAGATACATCCAGTTGTAATCAATTTTTGGCACCGTTGCGACGGGTACCAATTCGTTACCTTTGATTCTTGGTTTGAAATTTAGTCAAAGATTTTACTAATTTTTTCTCTTTTTCTCTTGTCTGCGTGTGTTTCAGGTGTATGTCAAACATATCCACAAGAATCAACTGCAGCAAGGATCTGGTTACCTTGTCAAACACCGAGCTAGCAAGAGTTGAGGGAGAAAACAGACATCGAAGGCCTAATACAGCCAACATGGGCGATCAAGGCAACAATGATAACATGGCTGTCGAGTTGCAACAGCTTCGACAACAATTGGAGCAGCTGCAAAAGGCGCAGCACGACAGGGAGCAGCAACAGCCTGCCATTGGAGACAAGGACAATCCACATGCTTTCTACCAAAACAGAGCTGCGATTGCTCCTCCAACCATTCAAAGGCAAGACTTTGAGATCAAACCTCAGTTGATTTCATTGGTGAAGCAGCATCTCTTTCATGGACTTCCTGCTGAAATTCCGATGGATCACATTGAGAATTTTGAGGAGATTTGTAGCACGACTGGATCGAATGGGATACCAGCTGATTTTCTGAAGTGCAAGTTTTTTCCGTTCTCACTTGCGGAAAAAGTTTCGAGCTGGTTGAAGTCATTACCACCTGGGTCATTGACTACATAGGCAGAGTGCAGACCAGCATTTTTGGACAATATCTACACTAAGTCTAAAACTGCAGCTCTGAGGAACAAGATCTCGTCGTTCAGACAGCAACTTGGTGAAGCTTTCAGCGAAGCTTAGGAAAGGTACAAGGAGTACCGAAAAGAGTGCCCTCACCATGGGTTCTCTGATGAGCAGATTCTGACAACCTTTTATGATGGTGTCAACTGAGATTACAGGAATGCTTTGAATGCAGCTAGCAATGACGATTTCATGACTAAGTCCAAAGCAGGTGCTTATGAGTTGATTGAGAACTTAGCTGCAAGCTCCAGCAACAAATCCCAAGAGTATGACAGGTCTAGCAAAGCAGTTCATATTGTGGAGTTGCACTAGATCGATGAGCTTATAGCAAAGGTGAATCTGTTGTTGAAAGAGAACCAGAAATCTGTGCATTTTGCTGATGAGATTGGTTATACACCTCTTGCTCAGGAGTTTGTAGAAGCAGATAATGATGATCACTTGGAGGTGAAATTTATGAATGGACAAGGGTATGTGCCGAACCGCAGCTTCAACAATTTCAGGAACCACCCGAATTTGTCCTACAAGAGCAACAATTTTTAGAATCCTCAGGATCAGGTCTATCCGCAGCAAGGAGTGCAGAATCAATCAGGATTTCAGAAGAACTTCTCCAGCAACTTCCAAGGGAAGCAGTTCATCACCGACCAGAACCGATTCCAAGGTTGGAATCAGCAGAAGATTCCCTTTACAAGTTTGCAGCCTTCTTCGAGTTCCCCCAAATAACTTGCAGGATGAGCTGAAAAACTTGATGCAGCATCTGCTGGTTAATCAGAAAAAGTCTTCCATGGAGACTAATGCCAAAGTGGACACCATGTACAATGATTTGAATGGTAAGTATGAAGCAGTGTGGACTCATGTGAAGAAGCTGGATATTCAGGTAGCTCAGACTGCTGAAGCTGTAAAGAGACCACCTGGAACTCTTCCTGGAAAATGTGAAAACCCTAGGAATGAGTTTGTTGATGTGGTGTGTCGTGAGGGTGTCAAGTTTTACCCTAAATGAAATCAATAGCCGCAAGTGCACAGCTGATCGATTGTAGTACTTAGGGATCGAATCCACAGGGAAGGAGGATCTTTCTTGCGAAAGCCTTCGAAAGAAATATAAAGTAAGGAAATCTAGAACCAAACGATTTTGTGGGGGTTTTGGTGGTGTGTTTAAAATGTAAAAACAAATCTTAAAGAGAAAATACGGGAATTAAAATGACCTAATAACTAAACTTAGCGAAAACGAGTAAAAATGAGAAAAACGGCTAACCTAATTGCTTAAATGAAAATCGATTGAAAGGGAATGAAAATACTAAACTAAAGCTTGAAATAAAACGGTGTGAATCTATAAGAAAAGAGGCACTGGGGTTCGGGGAAGTTTTCTCAGGGGTATGAACGATTCAAAACATTGCTAGAGAGTAAATTTGATAAGATCTTAGCTTAAACTTTTCAAACTGGAGTCACGGACGTATGAATATGCCACTGTCGTGATCATAGACAACTATCTCTCTCAACCCTGACCAGTAGGTTTCCACTCTGGCCCTAGAAGAGAAAAGATGCATTATGTTTAAGACTCATCAGCATTCATAAATTGCACATAGGTAGGTTTCCACTCCT